AGTAGCAACAAGCCGCGGAGCTCTCTTGTCAGTGGCCTTCTGACATCCAGAGTATGCTGGATCGTGTCAGTGATCTGAGGCAGGTGACACAGAAACCAATCCCTCTGGCAACTGCTCCCTACCGGAAGTGAAAACTGGACATGTGGTCTAACAATTTCCCTCTGCAGGGAGAAACTGGGAGTTAGGAGTTTTGTCTTGCTTGTTAAGTGCTGAGCCAGGGAGAGAGACTATGGTAAGTGAGTGTATACTAGTCTAAGCCTTCACCTTTGTTCTCAGTGGCTCTCCAACCTGGTCATTTCTTGTGAGTGCTTAGATTCAGGCAAGAGAAAAACCCCTGGGCAGCCCCCCAAAAGTCTACACATTGGCCGTATGTTCAGGCTTCTCTTGCCCTTCTCAGGGAGAAGCCAGTAGTTGAAAGTTTTCTCCCAGTTGCACCACACTGAGCTGGGGGCGGGGCTAAGGCAAGTGGTGCAATGAATTTCCTACCATCTTTGATGGAGCTGGTTTCTTACTCATCCGGGAGGCAGGAACCTCTTAACTATTTTCTGAATTTTTCATAAAAGCAGTGGTCTGTTGTTTTTGAATCAGTGTTTCTATTAGGGGCAAGGAAAATCTTTTGATGCACCCCCTATTGAATTTTTAAAGTGGAGATGTGAGTAGATGATTTGGTAAGATGTGTATTTTAGAAATATTGCTTCAGCTGAAATGTAAAGACCTACGTAAGAGTGATAGATAAGAAACAACAAATTCAGTTAGGAAACATTGGAGTAGTCCTTCAAGATATTATGATAGCTAGGACTGGGGTAGTGGCTTGGGATATGGAGAAATATTTAGAAGAAGACAACAATTAACAGGGTTTGATAATAGATTAAACATGGACAGGGAGAGGGAATTGTTAAGGATGACTGTGTTTTTGCAAAGACAACTCAATGAATGGTAGTATCCTTTATTGAGATAACAAACACTGGACTATTACAAATTTGGTCTTGTATAAAAATATTTCAGGTGCCTTTGAGATGTCTAATTGGTGAATTTGACTCGGCCATTGGATATAGGGGTAGAGTGCTTAGAGAAGCGATCTGGGATATAGATACAAATTTTGGAGTTTCAGGCCATATTTATTCTGCATCTTTAGGAATGTAATATTTGCTCACTATATTGTAAGTGCCATGAAGGCAGGGGCCTTTCTGTAATATTCCTTGCTTTGTTCTTAGATTTCTGATGCTGTTTCTGCAATCATGGGGTCTTGATATTTTTGTTGTTGTTATTTGTTTTCTTATCTTCATCCCTTTTCCCCACTGCCCTGGTATTACTGAAAACATTCACGAGAAATATATCTTGCCCCATTTTCACAACCATTATGTAATGTTTCATACTTACATAAAATCACATGTAATATACTCGATGTGCCAAAAAAATGTATACACATGACTTGAATTCTTCTTTTGTTATCAGTTATTGAGTATTGAGTATTTTAATACAGTTTTTTCCTTTATTAAAATATATTTACTTTTTTGGCACCCTCTGTTTATGTAAATTATGAAGTATATGAATAAAATGAAAACATCAAAACTATCACTTAAGAGCTAAATATTACTGTTAAACTCATCTGGATGCTCCGTCTGAATATCATCCTTTTGCTTACCCCCACAGAGTGAATAATTGTCCCGAAGTTCATAAATATTTTTCATTTTGTAAAAAATGGCTTTACCACGTACATATGTATTTGTATTCCTAAACATGTTACTTTGTTTTGCTTTTTTTTTTTTTTTGCGTTTTTTAAAAATGGCCTGATATTGTGTATAATTTTCTGCCACTTAATTTTTTTCACTAATCCGTGGTGGCAGTTGTTATTTTCATTGCTATTATAACCCATTGTATGAAAGTAACACAATTTACATATTGCCTTTAATAAACATTTTGGTGAATTCCAGTCTTGTTTGTATTTATGTTCTGCTATTTAATGCTGCTTTTGACATTTTATAAAATTTACAAGCTCATTCCAAAATTCATATGGAAATGCATGGACCTAGAATAGCCAAAATGTTTCTAAGTAATTTTTTTCATTTTGTTTTCCTCTTGAACCTATAAATTGTATGGAAATGTTTTAATCTGATTTCTATGTAGATACATTTTATTTGGTTTTGGTATGTGACCCTTCTGTTTAATATCCAGTTCCAGTGAATGTGATCTGTATGATTCCACATTTAATAAATTTATCGATATGTCCTTTGTAACTTTATGTATGTGAGTATTGTTCCATGTTTGAAAAGAATCATTTTTTATTCAGTACCAAGTTCTCTACATATAATAGAGTAAGGTTGATGATTCTTATAACCGTAGATCATCTGTATCCTTACTAATTTTGTCTAATTCATCTATAGATATCTAAAACAGGTACATTGATGTCCTCTATAATATTTAGGGACTTGGTGCAGTTTATCCTTGTATTTCTTGTCAGATTTTCCTTACTATATTTTGAAACTATGTCTTCAGTTCTTAAAGATTCATGACTGCTGTGACTTTTTGTGGATACACTCTTCATATATATGGAATAAATATCTCTTTTTTAAAGTTTTTTGCTTTGAAGACTATATTTTTATGACTGTGATACACCTGATTTCTTTTGGTAAACATATTTCATGCATATCATTTTCCAATCTTCATTTTCAAGATTCTGGTGTGGTTTAATTTTAAGTGTCTCTATAATAAACAACATATAGCTGATTTTCTGTTTTCCTCTCCCACACTCCTTTCCTCCCTTTTTTCTTTCCACCGTCCTTCCCTCCTTTCCCTCCTTTCTTCCAAACAATCTAGTGCCTCAGTTTTAATAAATGAGTTAAAAATTCATTTGTGTTTGCTTTGATTCTTGGCATATTTGAACTTATTTTTTGCCATCTTATTTTGTTCTTTCTTTTACCTCTTTTCCTCTTTTGTCTTATTTGAATGATTGGATTTTTTGTCCTTTTTAACCTTTAATTGTTTGGAAGCTCTGTATCCTATTTACCATTTTTTTATATAACATCTTTGCTGTGATATAATTTGTATATATACCGGGGGTGCCAAAAATATATATACAAGTGGTCACCGTTGCTCAAGCAGTAGTTCGCCGTAATCAGAAGTGTCTGGATGCTGATGGTAACCACTTTGAGCACCTCGTGTAATTGCAGAAGTCAAATGTGACTTGTATTCATCTTTTGTTATCAGTATATATTGAGTGTTAACAATTTTAATAGCTCTTTCCTTTCTTAGAATGTGTATACATTTTTTGGCACCCTGTGAATTGAGTGCCTTGAGGCATTCGAGATAAAAAAAAAAAAAGACTTTTAGATTAGTGATAGTCCTACATTTTTTTGCCTAATAACATGGCGTTACAGGGAATTTTTATTTTTATTGATCAGGGTACCCTGATCACAGTATAATATGCAATGAACTATTTTACCAATTAGTGGGGTTTTTTAGTTCATTCCAGCTGCTATAGCAAAATACCACAGACATGGTAGCTTATAAACAGCAAAAATTTATGTTTCATCGCACTGGAGGCTGGAAGTCTTGAAATCAGGGTGCTAGCATGTTGGGGTGAGGGCCCTCTTCTCACTGGGAGCCAGCACCTTCTCGCTGTGTCCTCACATGGCGGAAGGAGCAAGGGAGCACTGTGGGACCTCTTTTATAAGAGCACTTATATTACTATATATTCTATATTCTATATTTATTTCTGAAAATAGATAAGGGTAAAATGCTGAGGAAATAAACCATTTTATAAAAATTAGTTTCTGTTCTCTAGAGCATTTCTTGGCGCTTGCCTACATTATAATAACTAGTTCATATTGCATAGAACTCTGTATAGAACAAATGGGTAAAACAGTTCAGCTTACGTCTTAATAATCTCTACTACTGGCTTTTGTCTCTTTCATTTATTTGAGCTCTTACGTTTATTGTTAACTTACACTTTCTTTGTGTATACCGTTTTAATTTTTTAGCTTCTTTAAAAAAATGCTTAATTCCGTTAGTTTCAAGTTTTTTTAATAAATACATTTCAAGCTATCAGTATATTTCTAAGTATTGCCTTTACTGCCTCCCACATGTTTGGAATTGTGGATTCTTTTCTTATCATTTATATCGAAAAATTTCATGAAGTCTGTGTTTTCCTCTCTAAACCACATGTTCTTTTTTGTTGTTCTCCCCGCCACCCCAGCTTTATTGAGATATAATGGACAAATAACCCATACGTAATTTAAGAATATAATTTTAGTGTTGGGCTTGTATGTCTGTCTGTCTGTCTGTCTGTCTCCCACTAACTTTGTATTACTGGCTTTTATTCGAAGTTGCATTGTCGGAATATGTGGTTAATCTGATAAAGATTCTTTGAATTTTGTCAAAAGTCCTTTTGTAATCTTAGCACATGGTTAGCTTTGTAAATATTCCATTTGTGTCTGTATATTTTCGACTTGTTGGCTACCTGAGTCTCTGTTCATATATTTATTCAGTTATTAAAATATCAAATTTTCAAATAGCTTAACTGCCTATGGATTAAGTAAAATGACCTTAAAGAATCTTCATTTAAAGAATCTTTAGTTAAGGATATTAAGGAACTTCAACTTAGGTTTAAAGAAATAACAACATTTGTCAATTACGAGAGAAGTAATTTTTTGTCCTTTTAAAATTCCCGAGATAGAAATAATAGAAGTAGCAGCAGCAGCTGTAACAGTAGTATTAGTAGTAATAGTAATAATAACAGTAGTAGTAGCAGCTAATATTTATGGTGCTCTTATGTGCCAGGCATATTTCAAACCTGTCTGAATTGGTTAGTGATTTTAACCCAATAACAACTCTATGACATATTATTGTTTTCTTCATTTTATAGATGAGAGAAGTAAAGCACAGAAACGTTAATACACTTGCCATAGTCATATTGTAGCCACATTGGCTTTAAACAAATCAAAGTAAGTTTGTTCAGTTGTACACACAAAAAAATTCATTTTTTTCTTACTCCTTTTTAGTTATTAGAAAAATTAAAAGAACGTTGGCACATCACTGGTTTATGGTCTGAGCTGGAGTTGGTGAAGACAGTCATTGTAGAACCACAAGGAGGAGAGAAAACGGATTTTGATGAATTACTTCAGGTGTACTATGATGCGATCAAGTCCAAAGGAGAGAAAGGTAATGAAAAAATATTTTTTACTATAAAACAAGAAGAAGTTGGTGCTGTTAGAACTTCGTGTTATCTTTTTGAGTGAATTGCACTTATGAGAAAAATTATATTTTATACTTCTGAGTGAAAAGAAAAATATTGGGTTGTCAGAAAAGCCATGACGTATTTTTTCTGTTTTTTGTTGCAAAAATGCATCATGACTTTTCCAACAACCCAATAAGTTAGATAAAGAAATTCTTTATTTGGAGTTATTCTTCTATGAATATGTTCACTTAGGGATGCCAAGTAAAACAGCATGCATTCAGGTATTATTCCATAGGCTTCCCTACCCTACCTAAAATGTTTTGTGAAAGAAGGCAGGTAGCTCATGCGTAAATATCTTCTTTACTAGCCAAATGAGCCCTACATTTTGATGCGAATAATAGACTTTGTGTTTATACTCTATTACATAAGGTAAACTTGAGTTTTTGAAACATAACTGAACTCAGTATCAAAGTAAGAGAAACTCAGTATCAAAATATCCATAAAGAGGCTGATAGGAAAGACTAATAGTAATAATTTATTATATGAACAATGCAATGTCATAAGATACTATAACATAATTATCAATATCCTAAGTGTTCTCTGTGTGTTTACAATCTCTTCAACATAATATTGATTCAGTATGGTATATAGTACAAATGAAGTGTTATTTAAATCATTCTGAGTACTTTACATGATGGTGGTAATAGGAATGATTGCAATTTCAATTTTTTTAAATATAAAACAGTTGGGTCCCAAGAGCTCAGTCTGTGTGCAAGTTACTACTCTGATGTGATTTTACTGTGGAAGTTCCTGGGAGATACAGTTTGTAAATTGGTTTGCCACCATATTGTACCTAAGTGTTAATTTTGTTTTCCTTGTTTATTTAAAGACATTGAACTTTTTAAACTATCTCAAAATAGTTTTCTATTTGGATTCTTTTAAATTTGCTACTATGATTACTTAATAATCAGATCGCTTCAAAATGACAAGAATAGTCAATTTCTGGGAATTTGGGGTGTGCTTTTAAAATGTTTGTTTTTTTTGTGCTTAAGATGGAGCCCTCCTGATAGCAGTTTGTCGTGGTAAAGTGAGTGAGGGTCTGGATTTCTCAGATGACAATGCTCGTGCTGTCATAACAATAGGAATTCCTTTTCCAAATGTGAAAGATCTGCAGGTAGGCCTTCAAAGCCTTAAGAAGTTTTATTTATCATAGAAGTTGTTGATTTTGTGTTAATTAAATGTTTTTCATGTATCCTCAGACATTTTATTTTAATATTTTGTTGATTCAGAATGAGTGAGAAAGGTTTAGTAGATACTGGTTTATTTTATTTTTAACTTACGCTGTCTTTTGTTCAACAAGAGTGATTTTCAAAGTGTGGTCCCAGGTCAGGAGCATCATTATTACCTAGGAACTTGCTAGAAATACATGTTTTCAGGCTCCATCCAGACCTACTGAATCAGAAACTCTGGAAGTAGAGCCCAGCAATTTGTGTTTTATCAAGCTCTTAGCCACAGACTCACATGGGTCCCCACTTTCTAGGGCTCTTTTCCTATCTAGCTCCCTTCTCTTGACTGCCATGCCCTGCAGACTGCAGTGATTTAGCTGCTCCAAATTGTGATCTCTTCCACCTCAAGTCAGCAGGACCACCATATTCTGCTTGTACTTCAGTGCTCTGTGCTGTTGTCAGGAAATTATACCCACGAAGAGAGCTGAGAATCATGGAGTTCACCTAATGGATTTCTCTTATCTCCAAGATTAGTCTTATGGTGCCTGGTGTCTCCTCCCTGAAAGCAGTCCCTTTATCTATTGTGTCCAGTTTTATAGTTATTTACAGTGGGAGGGATATCCCTAAACCAGTTATTCTGGTCTTGGCCAGAAACAGGGAGTTTTGCTTCATTATCACTGATTGTTTGCTAAACATTATATTTGAAAAACTATTTGTAGCAATCATTTGAAGCCTAAGGTGGTGTTATCTCCCATCAGGGAGTATATTCGTTTATGTCCTGCAGGCATTGGAACATGCTAGCAATCTGAGCCCAAGAATTAAGGTTTTTTTGGCCACTGAGCTGACTGCATTGAGTATAATTTATATTCCTCTTCCCGGGACACAACCTGTTAGGGTCTCATACCAAAGCAGGAATTCTTTACCCAGGCAGTTATCTCCTTTAAAACCTCCAGATGTAAAGTTTTGTTATTGTTAATATTTTACTAGACACTGAATTTATATAATATTAACAGTAATAAGCAGTATATCTCTGGTTAGTCCCTGCTCTTCCCTAACCTCTGTACCTCCTCAAAATATTTGAAAATCCTGAAGTGGTATCTAATCCTCTCAGCCTACACTCACCTTTGGTGGCTTCCATTACCTTGCTCCAGCCACCTGTGCTACCATTGAGAATGACCTTGCCCGGGGCTCCTGGCCATTGCTACTGAGGGTTCAGTTGACATCCACTCAAGAAAACTGCTGTGTTCACCATCAACAGCATTAGTGCTACAGCCCACTGAAGCTGAGTGCTGCTGATGTCACTGCTGTTGGCAGCAGGACTGTCACTTTCTAATGTCTTATCATTTTACCTTGGCCCTATATTACTGCACTAATGCTGCTTTGTTGAAGTGGAAAGAATGCCTTTCCCCTTTTTTTTATGACACATTCTTCCAATGTCTTAAATGATTTTTTTCTCCTAAAAATAGCTCTTTCCATTTTTGTTTGTATCATCTCTCTTCTTTGGACCTATATATGAGTCTCAACAGCTGTAAAAGAAGATAAGTTTATGGATAATACTAGGTTGTACTAAATACCAAGTAACAAGACCTGAAAGGATTCACATCAAACTCATAATAGTGATTATGTCTGAGGAGAGGACAAAGCAATGATATTGAGGGTAGTTACCAAAGGGACTTTTTCTATAATGTTTGTTTGCTTGTTTGTTTGTTTTAGTAAAAAACAAGCTTCAAGAAAATACGGTGAGAATACAGGTGTTTATTATGTTATTCTTTGAAAATTTCTAAAATTAAATGAAATGTTACTTGTGAAGAAAAAAAAATTAGATTTACTTTCTATTTTCACTACCCTCACTCCCAACAACTGTGTTTCTGGGCATTGTTATTATGCCGACCTTGGGTTCTTGATGCTTTATTTCCTCAGGGTAAGTTCTCCCCAGGCATAGCATCTCAGTCTATCATACAAAAAAAGACCTGCACTGACATTCCTCAGTACTGGTCCTGCTTGGCATAGTTCTGCTTATCTGAATCCCAATGGTTCTTATTGTATAAAACAACAAGATAACAGAAGATTCAGTGAGGTCTGGGAGGAGGATGGTGGTTCTAAAGAAGTTTTCCTACTTTGCCAAGTATCCCTATCGTTTCCTGAAAGGGCCATGTAGGATAGACCCAAGAGTAGACCAAGTTGCAAGGACAAGGGACAGATAAAAGAAAAAAGAGAGAAATTCTTTACTGGCAAAACCAGATGTAAGGGAAGTGTATTTCTTATTGCCATATGTCTGGAGCCATTCTTGTGTAACAAACAATTCGAAGACTTAAAACAACAACCATTTATTACAGGTGGCTGGGCAGTAGATGATCTGGGCTGGGCTGGGCTGGGCAGCTCGGCTAATTTAAGCTAGGCTTCTTCACCCTGCTATGGTTTGAGCATTGTATGTTGAGCTCAACTAGGTCAGCTCTGCTCTACATGTATATCTCCTCCTTCGTGGACCAACAGACTAGCCAAAACATGTTATCATCGCAATGGTAGAGATACAAGAGTGCAGGCTTGACTGTACAAGCACTTTTCAAACACCCACTTATATCACTTCTACTAACCTTTTGCCCAAAGCATGCCATATGCCCAAGCCCAAAGTCAGGAGCATTAAGTAGGTGTGCGTATTTTCCAGCACACATGGCCAAGGATTTAGAATTAAGGCTTCAAAAAGGAGTCCTGGTGTTTTTATCATAACTAAAGGCATCCATCTTTTGTAAGGCATCCATTTAAAAGACTGATGTTTATAAGCTTTAACAGTGTAGGTATGCCATTTTTCTAATAATTAAGAAGGCCTTTTATCATTTGGAAATGATGAGAATACAGCAGTCAATACCTGAAATATTTGAATATCTGAAATAAATCAGAGCATCATTATGGATGGTTTCTTAAAATTCATAAATGATCAAGCAAGTTATTGAATATATTTGTACACTTCTATGGGATATGAAAGAAACAAAGTTTTGAAAATTTGAAAGAGGTTCACTTTATTTTTGTTGTTGTCCATGCTTTTAGTGTCATTTAGAAAACCACTGCCAAATTCAAGTTCACAAAGATCTGCCCCAAATGTTTTCTTCGAAGAGTTTCATAGTTTTAGTTCTTAAATTTAGATGTTTGATCCATTTTGAATAAATTTTTATATATGATGTAAGATAAGGGTCTAACTTCCTTATGCCTTCAAATTTGTATAGACATCTCCTAGTTGTATCATATTTTTGTAATTCGTTCTGCCAATCTCTGCCTTTCAGTTGGAGAGTTTAATCCATTTACATTTAAGGTAACTACTGGTAAGAAAGGACTTACTTCTACAATTTAGCTATTTGTTTCCTGCATGTCTTATGTGCTTTTTATTTCTCAGTTCCTTCACTATTGCCCTTCTTTTGTATTTAGCTGATTTTTGTTGTGTACTATTTTGTTGTTGTTGTTGTGTACTATTTTGATGCTCTTCTTTCCTTTTGTGTATATTTATTATTTCCTTAGTATTACTTTGGGGATTACAAGTAATATCTTAATCTCTGTTTTTCACATTTTATATTGTTATTGTCATAGATTGTATCTTCACACATTATGTGCTCATTAACATAATTTATAATTATTGTTTTATGCATTTGCCTTTTAAATTATATAGGAAAAAAGGGGCATTACAAACTAAAATAACATTTGGTTTTGTTGTTTGTTTTACTTGATATTGTTGTTAAAAAACAACAACCCTTCATGCCTAGACACTTTAATTAGGCATGATAATGGTAGTAATCATTATTAGATGATAATGAGAAGGACATAAATAAACATTAATATGACTTAAAATGAGGAAATACAATACATTGTTAGAATCATAAATCATTACAGGAGTTGTAGAAGGGAATGCTTAATTCCAATAGCATTTTACATTCTATCTAATACATAATAGAACATAATAAATGGAACATAATATTGATTATACTGGCTGTCTCTCAATTTTATATTAGTTTACTATGGCTGTATTACAAATTACCACAAACAAATTGGTTTAAAAAACACAATTCTTTTTTTAAATTTTTTAATTGTTTTATTTTATATTATTGAGGAATTGGGGAAGGGAACAGCGTTGGGAAATCAGGGAAGGGGAACAGACAAGTTGCTGTCCTTTTGTTCTTCAGTCTAGTTGTGGAGGACGTTGCTTCACTGGCCCATGTTGGTATTATCATTGCACTCTTCCTGGGTGAGGCAGTCACTCGACTGCCATGGACAGCCGCTCATGGCGTCTCACAGCAGCTCACAAAAGCGCATGCCAGCTGCCGGCCAGCCCCACTGCAGCCTATGCAGTCGCTGGCAACTCGCAGCAACCCAGCTCCAGGTCAAGCTGTTGTTTACCATCTTAGCTGTAGAGGGCAGCGACTCTGGCCCATGTGGGATCCAAATCGGCGACCCTGCTGCTCAGAACTGGCGCTCCCAAGCCAACTCTTCCAACATGGCACTCAGCTGGCCCAACACACAATTCTTATGTCACAGTTTCCATGGGTCAGGATTCTGGGCATGGCTTAGCTGGATCGTCAGAGGTCATGGGTCCACAAGGCTGCAGTCAAGGTGTTGACTGGGCTGTGTTCTCATCTGGATCTTGGTGTCTTTTTCCAAGCTCATTCAGGATGTTGGCAGAATTCAGTTTCTTATGGTGGTAGGACCTCTTCAGCCCGGAGCTGCTCTTATCTTCTAGGGGCTACTCAGTTTCTTGATATAGGACCTTCTCATAGACCCTCTCACAGCATGGCAGGTTATTTCTTTAAAGCCAACAAGGTACTCTCTAGATCCAGCCTACTAAAATGGAGTATAATTTAATCCCAGGATTAACTTCCCCATACCTTTGCCTTATAATATAACCTAACCAAGGGAGTGACTATCCATCACCCTTGCCGTATTCTATTGGCAAGTCACAGGTTCT